TCAGCTTTGCTGCTTGTCTACTTTTTGGAAGACTCGATCAGTTTGCTGAGCAGCCTAACCCTTCTCTGTGGCTGACACCAGGTAGCGAACTAGTTGCAGACTCTCATATCCTTAAGATATGTAATAGAGCACGTTGCTTCAACGCGAAAGATGCAACCTTAAGGCCTTTTTCAGACACAGAGCACTTGACCCAACTGCTGCAGTAGTGAGATCTCTGCTACCATGATTAGAAGAGGGATTTAACCCTTGCAAAAGGAAGAAGTGAGCATTAGCCCAAGAAGCGGCAGTTGTCCTGCATTGGGTTCTCCCAGGCAACTCCAAAGTAAGTTCATGTTAATGGTGTTTTGTGTTACAAAGGCTCTAGCGTACTGTAGTCTAGTGACGTGTTGATAGCGGCATTTATGCCTGGTGCTAATTGTTTGTTGTCATTTTTAGTAGGTGTTGCCAATGGATGAACTGGTGCATGACTTGGCCTCAGCCTTAGAGCAGACTTCAGAACAAAACAAGCTGGATGAGCTATGGGAAGAGATGGCCCTAAGCCCACGGCAGCAGCGGCGTCAGCTTCGCAAGAGACGGGGTCGTAAACGACGCTCAGACTTCACGCATCAGGCAGAGCATGCCTGCTGCTACAGCGAGGCCTCAGAGTCAAGCTTGGACGAAGCTGTCAAGGATTGCCGTGAGGTGCTGACAGCCAATTTCAGTGACTCTGATGACATGGCAGTGGTCAAACGACACCCAGCTCTCAGTGCCACCCTGAGGAGCAAGCAACACTCGTGGCATGAGTCAGACTCCTTTACAGAGAATGCACCCTGTCGACCTCTCAGGCGCCGACGGAAAGTCAAACGTATGACATCAGAGGTGGCTGCCAGTCTCCAGCAAAAACTCAGGGTGTCAGAGTGGAACTGTGAGAGGGGCTGCAGGTTCAAGTCAGCCAAGAAACAGCGTCTTTCACGCTGGAAAGAAAATGCCCCTTGGACATCATCTAGTCATGGCCTTTGTGAATCAGGAGAGAACAGGCCCTTCCTCAGCAAAGGGGGAAGGAAGGAGCGGATGGAGTGTGAAGCTGATGAACAGAAACAGGGCTCAGATGAAAACATGTCGGAATGGTGAGATCTTGGTTTCATCCCTGTGCTAGTCAGATGGCTGCTTTGCTTGCAGCTGCTTGTAAATTCTGTGCCTTGCTTTTAGAAATTCCTATCAAAGTTATTGCTACTCTCTTTTCAAAGAAGAAAATATCTCAGCTACTTCTAAACTGTAGATTTTTTTGAAATCTTTCCTTCCAATGCTGTACCGTTCACCCAAAACACTTCCTTGAAAAGTTGGCAAGCTGCTATGTTTCTGGCTCCTGTTCCACAAGGAGCTCTCTGAAATGTCTGCGGCCCTGCAGCTACAAAGTGGCATGCTTGTGGCCTGAGGTTTGGAGAGTAAATCCGCTGTTGGCACTTGTGTTGTGTGATTGATATGAACTGATCTCAGTTTCTTGGTTTCAGAATTTACCATAAGTAGTAACAGAGAACAGATCAGCTCTCCCATTATAACCGCTCGCCCTCTGTGCAGGTATTGTGTGAACCTCAGTCAAAACATCTTGTTTGCAGTTCTGCATCCATGCCCTGGATCTGGAATAAGGTCCTGAAGGGCCAGCTATGGGGAAAATGTAGCAAGACGATAAAGAAGTTGGGGGAAACAAAATTAATACAGGATAAGCCTGTGCTAAGAGTGGAGTCTGGCTTGTCTTCGTGTCCAGTTTTGGAGAACTTTGATGAATTCGTGGCAGAATCTCATAGATGAAAGTGAGAAGTATATACGTCATGGTCTGAATTTGTTTGTGTGTCACTCTTGGCAAGTTTTCCCCTTGAGTGTGGCTTTTATTCTCTTTGCAGAAGGTTTGGGGTTATAAAACTCTTCTGTATGAAGAGATTTTTCAGGTTAGAAAAGAAACAACTGCTGAGAATCAAATGGAGGAGATTTCTTAATGAATGACATACAGAAAGTGAATACGGTTGGTTGTTTGCTCATTATCATTGCATAAGAAGCAGGAGACATTGAGGAAGCATTTAAAACAAAAAAAAATACTATTTTTCATAAAATGCAAGGCTTGAAACTCTGCTATGGGACGTTTTGGAGGTCAAAAATTTAAATGTGTCCAAAAGGGGGATGTGGAGCATAGATTTATCAGGGGCTGTTAAGCATTACAGCCCAGATGGAAGATCCGGCTCAGGAAGTCTTTAAACTGCTGACTGCTAGAAGCTGGAGGAATATACAGAGGAAACAGTCGATCCGTATTTGTCATGTTCTCACATTCTTTCCTCAGGCATCTGCTCTAATAGGCCCTATCAGACAGAGGACAGTGAATTTGGAAAGTATAATTGTTCTTATGTTAAGGTTCATTTAAGTCTTCTTGCTGTCTAGCTCCTGCAGTTCGTCCGAGTAGACAGGTGGCACTTGATTACGGAGGGCTTTGTGAATAATAGCTGGAAGTGCAAACTTCTCAATGGTATTTTTTGGGAAACTGCAAAAAGCATAGGTTGTAATATGTCCTCATTGTCCTAATCCAGGGGACCACTATTGCATTTTCACTTAAACAGTGTGGTTTGTATGTAACCATTACAGGGTAGAAGTAGCAAAAAAGTGATAATTTTTTCCCTTAAAAAGCAATTATTGTTTTACTTTAAAAAGGGGGTGCAAAGTGGGCCTTTTCAAGAGACTAGTGGATGCCTTTTTGCTGCTGTTTTTTAAAAGCACCTTCATCTTGTCAGAGCTATTTGCTGGTCCAGGAGAAGGAGTGTGCTGAGTAGCCCCTGAATGTTGCATGTCAGTGGTGATGGACTGAGAGGTACCCTTACTTGATCTGTCAGTGATGGACAGTGTTCCTTGAGGTTTTTATTCCACTAGTCAGAGTCTGTTCCATCATGTCAAACTTGAACTTAAACCAGCAGGCTTTCATCCAGCCTTTATTTGTGCCAGCCTTTGCAAGAGTAAATAAACAGCTTCGTCTGCACTGTTACTTGAGGACCACGCTGGGAGATCACTTTGTTCTGTCTCGCTTGTCCCTTGCTCTCAAACTAATTATTGTGCAAGTGTCTGCGTCAAATGACTTTTACCATCTGCTGCCAAATCCTTGGGATTCTCTTTGGAAAGCCAGGGGCTGGAATATTTGACCTCACCAACACCACATGTGTGATCTGTGCTATGACTCACTAGGGAGGGTCGAAGTTGGAGAGAGAAATACATGCAACCCTCTTCACTGCAGAATATCCCTCATGGCAGTTAAGGATCATGCTCTGGTCTCTGCTATTGTAAATACAGCACTTTGCTGCTAGCAGCAGAGTGAAACTGGCTGTGCTTACCTCGCTCTCCTCTAGCTGTTTTTTTTCTGGTACCGTAAGAGAAGTACTTTGCACAGATGTGTAACAAGGGCATATCTTGAGGAAGGAAGAAGAAAATTGGATGCCTAGGAGAGCGAACAGTGTGGTTGTCATCATGAACTGATGGGAGGGAAGGTGACTGATCCAGCTCGTGGGACTTGGAAACAGTCTGTGGTGATCTGGTGGTTTACAAAACACTTTGATACTGAATTGGTTCCACTACTGTTTACTCATCTAGCAATGGAGAGTGTCACAAAACTAAGTATTTTTAGGCAAACTAACTTGTATATTCAGAACTGATTTTTTTACCTTCTTTTTCCTCCCCTTACTCACACTTGCTTTTTGTTGTTACATAGGAATAAATCTCTGTAAATGCTAAAATATCTAGCATTTTCTTTGCTTTCTAGAAGACTCCTTGTCTTAAGTCAGATCAAAACCCTACTGTATTCAGTAGGTGAACTCCCATTCACTGAGAAAGCTTTGGATATGGATCCTTAATGAGGAGGTAGTTTTTATAGTTTGTGTGTGGGACTCCAGCCAGTCTTTCCCTGGAGGAAGATGTATTGTGATTCAAAGTGTGTGTGAAATGAAATCTTTTAAATTGTTTGCCCAACATGGCAAGAGATAACACAAATTGAGAGAAGGAAGTAGGGGCAGGAACATGATGAGGAAACGATGGTTCTAAATTGGATAATGACATAACTCAAAGCCTGATATATAAATGATTGTGGAAACAACAGAGGAAGCAAGTGGTCTTAGTTTAAGTAGCCAGTTGTATATTTGTACAAAGGTGACAATTAACTGCTCAGAGTGTTAGAAGTAGCGTGCCCTTCTATCCTTTAATGCATTGAGATTCCCTGCAGCCATAATAAAGCAAAGGCAAATTATATATTGAGTTCTGAAGTTCTTTCTCGTGCTGGTGTAAGCTGAGTACTCCCAGAATGGCCTGGGTTTGGCTTGAGGGCAGAACAAACCATAGTACAAGAGCTGTCTATGAAATCACTTTGAATGATGTGCTTACTAGTGAGTGCAGTTTGTCTAATCCACTCTCAAGTGCTGTAACTCTTAACGTGGCTTTTTCAAACTGGAGACTGTGCTGACCCACCAGTGCTGTGTGACTTCACTGGCTTGATGCTGACGTATTTGTTGTGGTTTAACCCAGGTAGGCAGCTAAGACCCACACGGCTGCCCACTTGCTCCCTCGCAGCGGGGTGAGGGAGAGAATCGAGAAAACTTGTGGGTTGAGATAAAGATGGGTTAATAGGTAAAGCAAAAGCTGTGTGTGCTAGCAATGCAAAATAAGGAATTTACTCACTACTTCCCATCGGCAGGCAGGTGTTTAGCTCTTTCCAGGAAAGCAGGGCTTCATCATGCCTAACAGTTACTTGGGAAGACAGGCCGTAACTCCAAACGTTTCCCCGTCCTCCTTCTTTCCTCCAGCTTTTATTGCTGACCATGACGTCCTATGGTGTGGGATATCCTTCTGGTCAGTTGGGGTCAGCTGTCCTGGCTGTATCCCCTCCCAGCTGCTTGTGCACCCCTGGCGTACTCACTAGCAGGGCAGTGCGAGAAACAGAGATGGCCTTGGCACAGTTCAGCAATAACTGAAACATCCCTGTATTATCAACACTGTTTTGGTCACAAATCCAAAACACAGCACCATAGAGCTATTATGAGTAAAGTTTAACTCTATCTCAGGAAAACCAGTACAGTATTGTGGCCTGGGAGTGTAGCCAATGCTCATCCTGAGTGCGCAGTACAGTTGCTTTGCCCTTTGCAAGGCAGCCGTTTCGAGGAGAGCCCGCAGTGGTAGTCAAGGGCCTGGCTAAGCTGATGAATTGGAGGCCAGTCTCTCTGTAGAGAAAAAATTCCTCTCTCTTGGAAGGCAAGTGACAAAGACAGAGTGTTCAGCTTCCCCTCCTTCTCCAGCCCAGCCTGACCTTCTGCAGCCCCTCGGTGCCTCTTGTTTTCTTATTTTTATAGAAAATCAATATCCCTCCTGACACAAACAATAGCTCAGGCAAAAGAATAAATGGGGGAAACCTGAGATCTCTGTCCATCACCTCTCACTTTAAATCCCCCAAACTATTTAATTATAAGCATGCTTTGCTCCAGGTGTTTGTGACAGTGAAATTGCTAAATGAGGACCATTTTAACCAAAGATTGGGTGATCAATAACACTCTATAGCAGTTGCTTGTCGGATCAATAGCATTCATTATTTCATGGTTAAGGTAAGTAGCCTCCTTTGCAAGTGGAGGTCATTAATCAGTGCTTACTGGACCTGCAGAAAGGCTTGTGTAGGAGTCTCGTTTGTGTTCAGCCCTGAAGTGTAAAATGGGTAGTAAAGAGGGTGAGATCTGTGAAAGTTCATTCCAGTAAAGTACTGACAGTAACATGTATTTATAAGGAACTAAAGAGCTATCAGTACAACACGATGCTTAAAAAGTACTGTTAATATGACCTGGAATCTTGACTTAATGCTTTTTCCTTTCTCAGGCACCTTTCCTCTGAGGATGCTAAAACCCTTATGAAGCAGTCACTCAATCCTTGCATCTGCTGCTTGTGAGGACTATTAATCCAGGCTTTCAAAAGGGAAAGCAGACACGCTAAGAGATTTGCCCAGGGTCATACAGTGAGTTGGTAGGAGAGCTAGGAATGAAACGAATGACTCATGGTTCTCAGTCCTTGGCCTTAATTGCTATGGTGTATATGTGGGAGGGTGAATGGATGGCCAAACTTTGTAATGGATTGATTTGGAATTTAATATTAACTTACATACTGAAATGTGGGAATGATGTACAGACTGTTCATCCTTTAAGTTTAAATGGCCTTTATACAATGATGAAGATGCAGAGTTTGTAGGTATCCAGCATGGTGAGTTGATGTGGCTACACTTTAGAGTGCCTTTTCTAAGAGCAGTAATATGCTCACAAAATGGGGTTTTATTATATGCCTGAAATTCTTTGGGGTGACACATCTTGTGACCCCTTATCCTTCAGCCTTTCATGATAGTGGTGTCTAGTATGTTTCAATTTCCCTGGAAAAGAGGGACCCAGAGATGCTTTCTAGTAGCACGCCCTGATTAGAGATTGATTCTAGTGCTGAGTTATACCCTAACCCTAAGGCCTTAGTGCTCAGGGGGTGGGCAGTAAGTAGTTTCTGCTCGTTCTGGTATCTCTCAGATAAATCAGAGGAAGTATTGCCTGAAATGTCCAAGGATTGATATCAGCATTAAAGCCATCAGATGCTTGGGACTGACCTGGACATGTACTTCTGCTACAAATATTCATCCAGCTTTACAGTCAATTAGCAACTTTCTACACATTAATTGCTAGTTTAATTCTTTGGTTCAAGAATTAAGTCTCCTGTAACTGCTTCAGCAAATGCAAAGCGTGCTGTAACAAGGTTGCATTCGGCAGCAGCAAGTCATGCTGTGCTAAGGTATTTACCTGAAGAGTTGTGAAGCTACACAATTTTCCCTCCAAATAAAATAAAAGTTGCTGTAGATTGAAGAGGGGTTTATGTACCTGTAAAATGTGTTTGAGAAAAACAATCTGGAGTAGAAAACTTCAGAGGGTTTTCAGTAGCTGTTAAGTGACCCAAGGACAGAGTTTTTAACTGCACTTAATTTCTTCGTGAGTATTCCAGACAATGTCACAGTTAGGTTATTAACACAAGTACTCGAGGCAAGTGCCATTGTAATAATTACCTTTTGATATCTTAAAACTAGACTGGATACAGAATTGTACTCTTTTTTAACTGATGCAGCATTGCTAGGTTTTAACACAAAGCAATTATGTCCCATGCTAGAGCCAGCCATGTGTCTGAAATGCAATTTCTATGAGATATGTAAAGCATTTTGGGCTCAGAGAAGCTAGTAAAATGTAATGAAGTGGTTTTTGTTTTGCATCTGCAGCAATGGTAACAATGGGATTTTTTTTTGGTTTTGTTCCAGTGAAACCAGCAGCGTATGCAGCAGCAGTGATACTGGCCTGTTTACCAATGATGAGGGCCGCCAAGGTAACAATTGTCCTGTGATTTTCCTTACGTGTTGCAGGGGAATTTCTCTTGCTTTCTTTACAAATACAAAGGAAGATCTATGTTTGAAGAGGGACAGAGAGGGAAGCGTGGGAGAAACGCCAATGGCTGGGAGAGGCTAGAAGTTAAGAAATGAGCTGAGTGCTACAAAGGTGTGGTTTTGATAAGAGT